AAAAAAAAAGTGTAGTTAAAGAAGCAGCCATTGGGTTTATAGTTAAGTTTAAAAACATAATGGATTCATTTGAGGAGTCTGCTAATTTGGGGCCACAAAACGGAAGACACATCAGGAGAATGAATTCACTGCCGTGAGCCATGTCCTCAGGGGATATGATTCAGCAACTGTGAGGTCCAGCAAGGACAACTGGTAAGAGTCATGGTCTAGAATTCATTCGTGATGGAATCCAGTGGTCAGGGGTCACTTGGGGAGGCTCATCAGAGCTGCATTTGAGTGTCTGGGGAGTGGCTATGTGGAAAAAAGCCTGGACAGTGATACCATGATCACCAATACCACCCGCCAGGACCTCACAGCTGACCTGGAGTGGAAGAAAGAAATGGGGAGAGGGCGTTAAGAAACATGACAGAGAAGTAAGCCAATTGTAGTAATATGTTTAAAATGAGAAGAGGTCAATGCAGAGATTGGGTGTGGTGGTGCATGTCTGTAGTCCCAGATACTTGGGAATAGGGCAGAAGGAGCAGGAGGTTAGCGGTCAGCTTCAGCAACGGCAGCAACTAGACCCTGGGTCAAAAGAGGAAGAAAACAAGAATCTGTCCAGGAGTCCAGGACATAGTGGGTTCACAGTGAAGGTAGACATTCATTCTGAGGGTGGTGCCGAGGGAGGGAGAAGAACAGAGACAGCCTACCCTGAGCTTGTGAGATCAACAATGCAAAATTTGCATTGGGATTCCCCTGCAGCCAGTGGTGCCAGAGCTGTCTCAGTTGCTTCTAACCCCTTGGACAGCTTTTCAACATAGTGTAGCTTCGCCTTAGCTGTCTAGACTGAAAGTTTGGATTCCGTGGTTCTAGAGTAGACGTAAGAGTCTAGGCTTTAAACAGGCCTGTCTGGGGCAACCAGGCTTGGCAGCATTGAGCAGTATGACAAGTTCAGGTTTATATTTGTTAAAATACTTGTTTGTCTGTCTATTTACTTATTTTTATGATCGTGTGGGTACCTACGTGAGCTTCTGTGCATCACGAGCAGCAAGTGCTCTTAACTGCTCAGCCATATCTCTAGCCCCCAGGGTTTGCATTTTAGATAAACCTCCCTGGCCTCACTGAGTATGGGGAAGTGTACAGAGGTACAGAAAACCCTGGGTAGAAGAACCGGTCCCAATGTCATCTGAAAAGCATTTCCTGGATTGCACATGCTAAGAGCATCATGCGTGGTCTGTTTCTCTTTCGGTTCATTCAAACTTTAGGTACACTCCTACTGTTTGTACCTGGATGTGTGCACAGGGGAAATCTTTCCCATGGTGCTAGGGATCAAACACACACCCTCAGGCATGCTAGGCAAGCACTTTATCATTGAACTATGTCTGTAGCTCCAGCCCTCTTCACTTCCAAGACTCTATCTCTTATTGGTCCTTTGGGAAAAGACACAGGCCAGAGGAAATGAGTGTGCATTCTAAATTCAGGCTGTGAACATCCTGGCAACTTCCTTTTATGATTTTCCTCAGGATCCTGTTGGTTTCATCAACAGCCTGGACTATTCTGCCCGAGGGAGAGCAGTCAGTAACAGGTATGGGTCACCACCCCTGCCAGCCTGGGAGACGATCACAAGCGTACGAGTGTATACATTACTTTTCTGTTGCGGTGATGAAACACCACAAACCAAAGGGAACTTAGGAGAAAGTTTATTTTGCCTTATGTTTCCAGAAGGAATCCACAATGGCCAAGCGGAGACCTGGCAGCAAGGAGCAGGTGTGGCAGCAGGAACAAGAATTGGGAGCTTGTATCCTCAACCCAAGCACAGGGCGGGGAAAGCAGACTGGGAACGGTGTGGATCTTTTCACTCTCAAAGCCTGACTCCAGTGACATACTTCGTCCCACAAGGCAACGCCTCCTAAACCTCCCCTAGACAGCATCACCAACTGGTGACCAAGTAGTCAAATACATGAGCCTATGGGGGACATTCTCATTCGAACCACCATGATGAGTAAGCCCAACACAAGTCAGAGGAAGACCACCCAGCTGATTCTGCCCAGATTACCCATCCACAGAAACAAGGGCTCAGCAATGTCTGGGATGGTTTGTTACGCAGCAAAACTAACAGATACACCTCCTTGAGCTCCAGGGTTTTTGCAAGCGCTGTTCTTTGTGTGGGACACTCCTTTTACTTCCTCTGCTTAGATGATTTTTATTCATCGCAGCTCAGGGAAGTTTTCTCTGGTCTTGATTCATTCACCCCCTCCCTCAGAGTCTCTCTCTCTCTCTCTCTCTCTCTCTCTCTCTCTCTC